TTTTCCTTCCGCTGCTGCTTGGGGGGGGGGGAGTGGGGTGAGGGGGTGGCATGAGTGAAGTTTCAGCACCAGCCGCCTTAGTCCTCCTCTCTCTCTCCCCTCTCGTTTCTTTCTCTCTCTGCTGCTGTCCGTGCCTGCCCTGACTGCCCTGTCTCTCTGCTGCTGTGGGGGGAGGTTTGGGGTGAAGGGGGGAGGTTGAAAGGGGTGGTCGCCGTGAAGCCAGCAGCTCCTGTCACCCGTGAGCCCGTTGCTCTAGTCGCCCGTGAGCCCGTTTTTCTAGTCGCCCGTGAGTCAGTTGCTCCAGCCGCTCATCTAGCCGCAGAGCCAGTTACTTCAGTTGCCCGTGTGCCAGTTGCTCAAGTTGCACGTGTGCCAGTTGCTCCAGTAGCCCGTGTGCGAGCAGCTTCAGCTGCCGCCCACCACCTCCTCTCCTCTCATGGTCCCTCCTCCTCCTCACTTGCCCTCTGCTTCTTCCGCTGCACTCTGCATGGTGTACCCCTTTAGGGGGCGTTGCTACACTACCTGCAAGCACTTATAGGGGCGTGTCAAGATATATGTTATATCTGTTGTATAACTGCTTGCGGTTAGATCGTAGTGTAGTCATTCTGCCTATTGTTGGTGGTGCAACCTTGTAATGCTTTCGCTATATCTTGTATCTCATGCTAGAGTGAGCCTCTCTTTTCTTGGCCAAGATTGATGTCGCTACTTCCCTAGCTCACCTTTCTCCTAACCTAAGTCATAGCCTCCTAAGGCTATTTCAACATGTTATCAGAGTGAGGTTCTACCTAGGACCTACTTTCATGGGCCCACCAACTCCGCCATCATACATGGCGGCTTATTCTACTGCTGGCGCGGAATTTTCGGCTGGCGCGTTTTCTGCTGCTTTTGCTGAACCCGTCGCGCTGCCCTGCTCGCTGCGCCCTGCCATGCCCCGCACGCCGTCGCGCTGCCCTGCTCGCCGCACCCTGCCATGCCCCGCGCCTTCGCGCTGCCCTGCACGCCGCGCGATACCGCTGCCCCGCGCATTTGCGCTGCCCTGCGCGCGGCGCGCTGCCCCTGCCCCGTGCGACGCGCGCCCCGCTGCCCCGTGCCACGCGCCACGCGCGCACAGCTACGCACGCACGCGGCTGCACACGCATCTGCAGCCGCACGTGCAGCCTCTACTCTGCCCGCCTTCTCCTCCCTCTCCTTGCTGCACGTGCAGCATTTGGTGGGGGCGGGGAGGGTGTGTGGGGGGAAGGAGGAGTGGCGGTATGGTTCCCTGCGCCTGCACCACCAGCCGCCGCCCTCCTCTCTCTCCGTGCCGCGTCTGCTGTTGTGGGGGGAAGGGTTTGGGGATGGCGGGTGTGAGTAACCAGCTGCCGCCCCTCCTCCTCTCTCTCCCACTGCCGCACGTGCCGCTGTGGGGGGGGGAGGGGTGTGGGGGAGACGAGGGAGTGGCGGTAGGGATGCCAGTGTGGGGGGAGTGTGAAGGGGTGGCGGGAGTGATTCTGCATCAGCCGCCTCCTCCTCTTTTTTGTTTTCCTTCGCTGCCGTTGGGGGGTGGGGTGGGGTGAGTGGGTGGCAGGAGTGAAGTTTCAGCACCAGCCGCCCTAATCATCCTCTCTCTCCCCTCTCGCTTTTTTCTCTCTCTGCTGCTGTCCATGCCTGCCCTGACTGCCCTGTCTCTCTGTGTCAATTCTGCTGCTGTGGGGGGAGGTTTGAGGAAAAGGGGGGAGGTTGAAGGGGGGTGGCCGCCGTGAAGCCAGTAGCTCCAGTCGCCCGTGTGCCCGTTGCTTTAGTCGCCCGTGAGCCCGTTGTTCCATTCGCCCGTGAGTCAGTTGCTCCAGCCGCTCGTCTAGCCGCAGAGCCAGTTACTTCAGTTGCCCGTGTGCCAGTTGCTCAAGTTGCCCGTGTGCCAGTTGCTCCAGTAGCCCGTGTGCGAGCAGCTTCAGCCGCCGCCCACCACCTCCTCTCCTCTCATGGTCCCTCCTCCTCCTCACTTGCCCTGCATGGTGTACCCCTTTAGGGGGCGTTGCTACACTACCTGCAAGCACTTATAGGGGCGTGTCAAGATATATTTTATATCTGTTGTATAACTGCTTCCGGTTAGATCGTAGACTAGTGTAGTCATTCTGCCTATTGTTGGTGGTGCACCCTTGCTATGATTTCGCTATATCTTGTATCTCATGCTATAGTGAGCCTCCCTTTTCTTGGCCAAGATTTCTCTCGCTACTTCCCTAGCTCACCTTTCTCCTAACCTAAGTAATAGCCTACTAAGGCTATTTCAACAACAGGGTCCCCTTTCCTCCTATCATAGCACATACAACGTTTCGAAATCTTTGAAACATCCCGAAACAGCACTACAAGTCGAGTAAATCTACGATATTTCCGTTGGTTCTTGTCTGAAACGTTCACCATGCATGGGTGTGCATGTGTGGATGTTCAACCAGTCTGGCCTTGATTCTTTACTGCTCTCCAATGTACGGTAACCGACGGCAGCCGATGTACGAAGCTGTGGACCGTTGGATGCACCCAGACAACAGCGACAAGATTCATCTCATCGAGGGAGGATATTCGTGCAATTCGTGCGCCATGAAGGAATAAATATACGTGATCGAACATTTTCCCACTCGTGCGACATTTTCTTCTCTTCAATGTCAAAGAGGCATTCACAAGCAAAGCTAGAGGCATTCACAAAGGGCAAGTGAGGAGGAGGAGGCGGGACTGTGAGAGGAGAGGAGATAGGAGGCGACGGTTGAAGATGCAGACACACGGGCAACAGGAGCGGCTGGCACAGCGGCTACCGGAGCAACGCCCCGGACTACTGGAGTAACTGGCTCCGCGGCTAAGACGAGCGGCATGAGCAACGGACCCACGGGCGACTGGCGCAGCAGTCTCGCTGGGCTACCGGAGCAGAGCCCCGGACTACTGGCGCTGCTGACGACACGACGGCTGCCTCCCTCAACCTCCCCCAACTGTCCCACCCCCCTTTCACACACCTGCTGCTGCACCCCTAGCTTGACTCCCACGACACCCCCCTAGCACCACCCCTTCGGCTCCCACACACCCACCCCCCTCTGCGGCAGCTGCAGCAGTGGGAGACGGAGGAGGAGGAGGAGCAGGGGACGGCTCTCACACCCGCCACCCCCATACCCGCCACCCCCATACCCCCAACGCAGGCGGCACGGGGCAGAAACGCGGGCAGCAGCTGGGGCGCGGCGACGGGCGACGGGCAGGGCGGCGCGCGGGCCCCCAGGGCGCCGCGACGGGCGACGGGAGGGGGCGACGCGCGGGCCCCCAGGGCGCCGCGACGGGCGACGGGCAGGGCAGCGCGCGGGCCCCCGGGGCGCCGCGACGGGCGACGGGAGGGGGGCGATGCGCGGGCCCCCAGGGCGCCGCGACGGGCGACGGGCAGGGCTGCGCGCGGGCCCCCGGGGCGCCGCGACGGGCGACGGGAGGGGGGGCGGCGCGCGGGCCCCCGGGACGCCGCGACGGGCGACGGGAGGGGATAGCGCGCGGGCCCCCGGGGCGCCGCGACGGGCGACGGGAGGGGGAACGGCGCGCGGGCCCCTGGGGTGCCGTGACGGGCGACGAAACCGCCACGCGCCCCGAGCGCGTGGCGGGTAGAAAACCGCCGCACGCCCCGAGCGCACGGCGGGAAGAAAATATCCGAGGTCTGGCTGGTCTCAACTTTGGCCGGCTGCCCGACATTCTCTTCTCTTCAAGGACCATTTTTTGCTACATGGTTTGATTCAGATTTGTTATATTTTCTTATTGTTCTCTTGTGCTTGCTGTACTGGCATGCTCCATCGTTTTTTGTCATTCTCCATGTAAGCAACATTAAAAAGAGAAATTGGCGTATAATCGAAAGGTGCATCAGCAAATATAAGAGATTATAGTACAGCAAGATGAATCCTGTCTTCTATAGTATTTTGAGGGGGTCTTCTATATCAGAGACAATAAAGAGCAAATTTGAATCAAGCCATAACAAATATCGAGTCTTACCAGCTCTATTATTTGGGGCTTTATTCAGAGCTTGCACTGCCAGTGCCGCTGAGAATACCGTAGAAGGGTTATAGGTTATAGTACACTCGAAGAGAAAAAACTTAGTATGGGGTATGCTTTTTCGATGAGATGAATCCTGTCCCTTGTCCAGCGATCCACACCACAGCTTCTCGCGTCGGCACGGCATGTTTCTCTCTCATGGATTTCTCCATTCAATGAGATGAATCTTGTCTCTGTTTTCCCTCTTGAGACATCTCAAAAGACGTATAGCTTCACTTCGTCATGTCGTGATGCAAGAGTTGCAGGGATATCCGCCTTCAATGAGAGAAATCCTTTCCTGGTGTCCCTTTTCAGGCGTCTCAAAATACATGTGTGTGCACTTTACTCCTCCGCCATTATGCAGGAATTGCACGGGTACGCTCCTTCAATGAGATCAATCTTCTTGCTGTTGCCGGGGTGCATCCAACGGCTCACAGCTTTGTACATTGGCTGTGATTGGGTCGGAAGAATTAAAAAGAGGGGGTGACGGGGGGCAAATTAGGTCGAACGTCCATGCATACGAACACCCATACATATGCACATACCATCACAAAAGAGGAGGTTTAGGGATAGGTCATGCACCACTCGTATTGTAGTGCTGTGTGGGGGTGTCTCAGAGATTGCAACGTTGCAAAAGATGGGGATGGGATAGAGATAGCACTGGGGGATATGAAATGCTTGCAAACGGAACGGTTTAGGGAAGGTCGTACACCCTCGGAATGTGGTGCTGTGTGGGGTTGCAACAAGAGAGTCGATGTTTCATGTGGTATGATCGAAGGGAAGGATGGCCATTTACACGAAACCCTGCAGCTAACACACCCCCCTGCTCTTACACACAATTCAGCTGGTAACTCACCACTCCTTTTGCAGTGCGCATCATCCACGGGACGTCTGAGTGGATGGAGCCGCGCTGTCTGGGGATGCATGTGCTACTGTGCAAGGAAAGGGAAACCCACTGTTAGTGCACAACTCACCACTCCTTTAGCCGTGCGCATCATCCACGGGACGTCCGAGTGGATGGAGCCGTGCTGGAAGCAGGAGAAGAGGAAGACGGCGTTGGCAGGCGTGGAGTGGGCGAGAGGCGCCACTGCGTTCGCCACTGCCTTGCGGTAATCTGAAACCCAGGAGTGGTGGACGGTGAAGCAAGGTGAGGCAAGGTGGGGAAAGGTGGGGAAAGGGAGGTGAGGCACAGCAAGGCAAGGCGGGTGAGGAGAGAGAGGTAGGGATGAAGGGGATTGCAAGGTAGGCAAGAAGGGTAGGGCAAGGTAAAACAAGGAGGGTAGGGAAACGTAAGGAACGGAGTTCAAGGCAAGGAGGGTAGCGCTGTGCAAGTACAAGCAGAAGCCCTTTCAAGAGAATATGAAGCTTTACACTCTCTCTCCCATCCACGAACGAGCTCACTCACACTCACGCACCCTCAAAGAGTCGCTTCTCAGCGACAGAGCACGTGCTGACATCTCACTCTCCCGCATCCATGAGCGCACTCCCACGCACTCACTCACACTCACGCACCCACTCACACTCACGCACTCACTCACACTCACGCACCTTCAAAGATATGCTTCTCTTTGGCAGTGCAGGTGCTGAGATGGTCGAAACAGTCAGGTGGGGCCGTTAATCCCGAATCCAGCACCTGTGGTTGTGTAATGGCCCTCATCTGCACGTCAAGTCACAAAAGGAAGCACACGAAAGAGAAAGAGAATGAGAGACAAGCGGAGCTGCAATGTCCCTCATCTGCAGGTAGTCACGAACGGGAGGGCAAGCGAGAGCACGGAAATGGTCAAGAAATGAGAGACAGAAGGCTGATTATGACTGCAATTATCAATCTTGATTATAAACTGAAGCGGAACGAGTGGAATGCTTGTTGTCATAGTTGCTGTTGATGAGGAAGAGAGGGGCGTGGAGGAGACAAATGACTCGTGAGTCGACTCAAACAATGAAGTCATATCGTTACCATGGTCACACGGCATTCCGACTTACCGCAACTTTGTCGTAGTTGCTGTTGATGAGGAAGAGAGGCGTGGAGACGTATTGCAGAATATGGTTGGCCATGAAGCACTGGCGTGAGTGAAGAGGGTGAGAAAGGTGGAGAGATGCACATTATGGCAAAGGTTAAGAGGGGTGGAGTGGAGTGGAGACGGCATGGCATGGTGGAAGGCAGTAGCATGGTGGAGTGGAGACGGCATTAGCATGGTGGATTGTAGCAGAGCACATCATGGTGCACCTGATGATGCTGCTCTAAAGGCAGCAGCAGCGCACCTGATGATGCTGCTCTAGCGCTCGATCCTTGACACACGCTGGTGGGAGGCTGATGGTCAGATTCTGGATCGAAGAATGGAGGGAACAGGGAAGAAAAAGAGAGAAGAAAAGGGCAAGGCAGGGAAATGTGAGAGGGAGGGCAGAGATGGGTTGGTGTGGGATTGCACGTCCCTTATGACTTGCTCACAACTCTTCAGTTATGACTTGCATTCTCTTTTGAGTCGACTCAAAAGTCACCATGGGTCGGTGTGAAATTGCATGTTCCTTAGGACTTCCTTATGACTTGCAGACTCTACAGTTACGAGTTGCTCACATGCATGTCCTGACTTGCTCACTCACATGCATGGTCTGACTTGCTGACTCACATGCATGGTCTGCACTTGAGAGAAGAATGCTGCGATCCTCCTGTTGTTGTCGCTGTCGGGGCTGCACATGGTAAGAGACGGAGGGAGGGAGAGAGGGGGAGGGAGAGGGAGGGAGAGGAAACAAATTGAGGGAGAGGGAGGGAGGGAGAGGGAGGGAGGGAAACGGAGGGAGGGAGAGGGAGGGAGTGAGAGGGAGGGAGGGACAGAGAGAGGGACAGAGGAACACCACGCATGCAAATCAGTTGTAGAGGAGTGAGGATGAGCGAAAAGGAGTGACGAGGAGTGAAGAGAGGGATGAAGTAGTGAAGAGGAGTGAAGAGGGGTGGAGAGGGGTGAAGAGGGGCCTTACATGTCGAGGAACATGGAGGCATCAGCAAGGCAGCGGACGTGCATGGAGGGAGAGGCGGCTGTGAGAGTGTCCCTCACTCGATCGCAGTGCAGCAGCAGAGCCACTCCCCCCGCTGAACTCCCGGACACAACCACCTGCCCAGATGAAAGGTGGAAGAGAATCACAGGCACTACTTAGTACCAAGCCTAGTGAACAGCACGCTACAGCCGGGTGAACAGCGCGCTACAGCCAGCCGCCTGAGGTGAGAAAAGATGGAACCCGCCTGCTCATCTTCCCCTCATCCCCCCTCTCACCCTCCTCCCACCTCTCATACTCCCCTCTTCTCACCTTCTCCGCGTGGCCAAGCCCCTTCTTCTCCATCAGGTGCTTCACCAGCAGGTCCGCCACTCGCCTTCCTCTGACCACTCCCCCCACTCTCACTCCCCCCACTCTCACTCCCCCCACTCTCACCCTCCCCACTCTCACCCTCCCCACTCGCACCCTGCCCTCTCCCCCCCTCACCTTCTCCGCGTGGCCAAGTCCCTTCTTCTCCATGAGGTGCTTCACCATCAGGTCCGCCACTTTCCTTCCCCGCATGTACAGCGGAATGCCCTGGGGGAAGGGAAAGGGGGCCAGGGGGAGGCGGAAGTGGGGACGGCGGAAATAGGAGGTAAGAGAACTCTGATTGAGTTGAGGCTACTTAAGCATAGCTATGGTTGGGGAAGTGGGGAAGGCTGCAAGGGAATGACTTGGTTGCGTTGGCGGGAGGTGGACGGGGGACGGGAGGAAATGTACGAAAATGAGCACAGAGGTAGAGAGGCGGCAGCGAAAAGGAAAAATGGCAGAGAGGCAGAGCGGCGGAGGGGGCGGAGGAGATGGAGAGGCGAGAGGAACAGGGGTGGAGAGGTGGAGAAGCAGAGCGGCCTTGCAGGGGCAGGTGACTGACATTGAAGCGAACGGGTTGGTCCTGGTGGCCTGAGAAGGAGCCGCCATCGCAGTAGATGAAATAGACGGCGTTCCAGTTGTAGAAATCTGGTGGGGGCAGGGGGGAAAGGGGACAGGGGACAGGGGGCAGGGGGAAGGGGTGGATGCAAGGCGGTGTCAGCAAAGCAGGCGAAAAGAGCTGCCGGTGCGGTTGGAGCTGAGCATGCCCTGCATGCTGCCGTTCTGCGCATCAAGTGTGCGGTGCAGTGCGGTGCTGTGCGGTGCGGTGCAGTGCTGCAGCTACGGATCCTCACCAGGGTTGACGGTGCGGTTGCCGCTGAGCATGCCCTGCATGCTGCCGTTCTGCCTATCCAGCATCTCCCCCACTGACCGCGCGTGCTTCGTCGACCCCAGGTGCATGCGCGCCCTGTACTCGCACGCGTGCGGGGACGCGCACCACGCGCCGCCCTGCAATGCGAAAAGGGGGAGGGGGAAGGGAGAAGGGAAAGGACGGGGAATGGAAGGTAAGCAAAGGGAGGGGAAGAATGAACAGCAGAGGGGATAGACGCCAAACAAAGGACTCTCCTCGGAGGAGAGTAGGAGGCGGAGGGTAGGAGTGCGGTTACAACTGAAGGAAAAGTGGAAGGTGAAGAATCGTTCATTGAACAACGAAGTTCGTTAGAGTCACACCTCGAAGAACAGCACCCAGTTGTCGCTTCCCGAGCCGTAGCCCTTCCGATAGTAGAACCCAGGGGCCGATCCGTCCAAGCACACTGCGCCCTCCGCGCGCCCTTCTTCCGCCAGAATCAGCTGTAGCGGCGGAATATGCCCTCCCCCCATTACGGAAGCATGGGAGGATTCTTTTACTAGCTCCGCCGCTCTCCTCCGCGGAGAGTCTCCGCTTCCGCCAACAGCCAGCTTGCGGGGTTGCGCCGCATTCCCGCGCAATCCGCGTACGCCGCCAGCCGCCGCTGCGATAAGGAGAAGAACAACCAGAACCGCCGATGACGGCGCAACTGGCGGGAAGCCCCGGCGCGACATGACGCCGACGGGCGGCGGAGAAGGCGTTGTTGACGGCTCGGGGGAGCGATGGCTAGCGGCGGAAACAGGTGACTCAGCGCGCTGCGCGGAAAGGCGGCGCGCTACTAGCCTACGGAATTTTTATCGACAGAGCGGGTGAGCGGAGAATTTCCCTCGATAGAGCGGGTGCGCGGAGAATCTCTTGGCGGAGAATTCCTTGGTACTTGTTGCTAATGGCACTAACAGGGAATTCCTTGTTACTTATCGTCTCAACTGTAAGCGGCAGGATGAGGAGAAGCTGCAGACGGAAGGAGTAGCGAGTGATTCGTCCTCGCGACAGGGGACTATTTAAAGCCGCGGTGCAACTATCAGCTTCAACTTCAAAGTATTATAGCTTGGAAGAGGTTGACCCAGGCAGTTCACAGCGAGAGGTTTGTCCTGTTGTGAAACTCGAGTGTTTTCGACCAATAGAAGTCCAGTTACTCACATGCGAGTTTTGTCCTGCTACTGTTTCTAAGAAGTTGCACCGCGGCTTTAAGCTCTCATCGTAAGTGCGGCACGGGTTCATGATCGCCGATCGGCGCATGATAGGCGCGCGCAGTGATCGCATGTGGCAGGCGGCGCGATGATACGTGGCGTGGCGGAGCTCCGGCCACGTATCGGCGCGAGCACTGATCGTCTGTTACTAACAGGCGTGAGAACTGATCGCTGGCTGATACGAGGCGGAGCTTCCCCCTGAAGGGAGGCCATATCGCCATGATTCACTGGGATTATGTCGGTCATAGTCCGCCGCAGAAACCAAGTGGAAGTGACCAACATGGAGCAGAATTCGAGTGTGACCTAGGAACCGACATACAGTCGCCGCCAATGGCCCTGCGCTTCGATCCTTGATCTCCTCCCCCCCCGGTCCCCGGTCCCCCTTCCCCCTTCCCCCTTCCCCCTTCCCCCACCTCCATCCTTCGCGCAAGTAGCTCCCCGTTTCCCCTGCTCTTTCTCACCCTCCCTTCCTCACCGACCATCTCTCCCTCCCACTGTGCGAGCAAGGCGAATGCTGTATTCGGGAAATGCCATGCGACGCGAATGGCGGTGGCAGGGGGTACAGTACAGATCTCCATCGAGCTCCTATCCATGATGCCGATGACTGTCGATCGTCACGTGCCTTCGTTTGTCGGATACGCCTCTGCTAGCAGAGAACTAGGCTGGTAATGGCGCCTCGTACACCCTGTTTCTCGCTACACTGAACTGCGGAAACACACTGAACAGTGGAACTGTTCGTTGGACTTATTCGAAAAGTTTACAATAACCGTCTCTAGGAGGCGGGTGATCCGAAATTTCGTTAACCTGGGTACCCTACCGAGCCATATTAAAAGTTCAGCTGACCGTCTTCAAAGGTAGCTGACCTCGTCAAACCGAACTGGTGCAAAAGTTGACTATAGCGCGTAATTTGGCGCGTTGAGCCAGAGGGTTCGGTATACCGGAATTCACAATAGCGAGAAACAGGGTGTATTCACAACACAAGCAGCAGCATTTTGCAAGCGGGAAGCGATGTTTGTATATTTTGATAGACCTGCTCACCGCAAGAAAAAATGCTTGAAGGAAAAAAAGTGTTGGCGCCAGGTGGTGTATTCGCACTGTGCACTGGAGCGCAAACGGCAAACGCGATTGAGCCACAAACAAGAGTTTCCTTCCCTCCCAGGCCACGAAAATTCTCTCTCTCTTCAGGAAAAGCGGTTGAGTGAGGTGCAACGTAAAGCAGTTTTTTTTATAGCATCACCAAATGGAACCGTTACTCATCGGTCTGAACGATGATTCATGGGTTAAACGAACTCCGCCCTAATATTTGACATAACAGTTCGTTTCTAGTCTCGCTTCCATCGAAAGCCTTCGAATCCACTGTTATCCGGCCAGAAGGCTTTCGATGCTCGAACACTTGTTTTCCAAACATACATCAGTCAGGTGGTTTTCCCAGGGCCAGGTGCTGGTGCAGGTGTTGGATTGTAGTACAATTGATGCTCAACCTTATCAAGTGCATTTGGGTAGATTTTTTGTATTGTTTAAAATATGTCCTACGGGCATTCAAACACGGGCAGCAGAACATCGCCTGTAAACTCTTTGTTTCCGAACACGCAGAAAACGACATCTACAGCTTCACAAGGTACCCAGACGGACCAAGGAATGTACACAAATTTCTAGAATTTCGACATTGCAACTTCACGATTCATGCAATCCGATTGATCCGTGGAGAAGTCGGCGAACGCAGGCGAAATGCTGTGACCGCTTCACTACACAGGCGCACCAAAATGCAGCATAAGAATAATGGGCATCGACTGTACATCGCCTACATGTACAGATCCACTTTTTTAGACAACTGTACATATCCCGTGAATCTTGTTGGTGGGAGGTAAAAGTCGGTGAACTGTACAACGGCGTCAACAGTCGGTGTGACAGTCAAATGTCGGTGAAATGCATCGCTCTGGCGCGAGCTTCGGGGGAAAGCGAAATTTCTCACGCAAATTCCAGGGCGATGTTCGATAGCCAGCCAGGAGTGGGTGAGAGCGGGTCAAACCAGGGTCAACGACAGTTGACTCTTGCTGAGAGATTCGCGCAACACCTGCGCATATGGGGAGCTGGCGCAAGGGTTGGGGGTGGCGGATAGGAAACAACCTGCACCCATTACCGAAGGTCACCTCATATACCCCCTATACTCAGGTCATGCAGACTGTCTCAGTTCAAAAAAAGAAGTGCCCTACGCAAACGGGAAATTTTGAATTCAAATGTAGCAACCATGCTCATCAGGGCCTGTGCTAGGATTTAGGGCATCCTGATGCCTCAGAGCAACATTTGAAAAGGTTTTAGAAATGCCCTGATTTTTCAGGGCAAAACTATATGGCCATCCTGAAGTTTCAGGGTACCTGTTGTTACAAATAGTAAAGGATGAAGCATTACTGTGCACTCCTTACTCTAGCAATCGAAGCACGCACTACCGAGGCTGAAGACGAAAAGGCGTAAGTGATGCTGTTACGATATGAAATTACATGAGAAAGGCATTCCTGTATGCTGCAGGAGCCGACTCTACCGAGTACGAAGTCGAGGAGTCAGAAGAGTCGAAGCGACGCAGCAACCGTCTGACCAAGACCGATGCAGGCAGAAACATTTGAAGTGAAAAGAGCGGGAACAGGTTTTGAACGGGTTTCCGCGCCGCACGGTTTGAACTCGCTGCGATAAGGGAATGTACCCCTTGTTACGATATGAAATTACATGAGTATGCATTCCTGTATGCTGCAGGAGCCGACTCTACCGAGTACGAAGTCGAGGAGTCAGAAGAGTCGAAACGACGCAGCAACCGTCTGACCAAGACCGATGCAGGCAGAAACATTTGAAGTGAAAAGAGCGGGAACAGGTTTGAAACGGGTTCCCGCGCCGCACGGTTTGAATTTCGCTGCAATAAGGGAATGTACCCGTTAGAGTACATGGCTAGTCTAGGTCTTTTCGTATTCCCTTGTATTCTTATATAAACCCGATGTACGCATGCTTTTATCAACTCAGTCATTTACATTCACTCTGACCTGAGATTCAAACTTCCGCTGCGACACTACTCTGCGATCAACCCTGAGCGATCCTTCGCTAAGTCCCACTTGGGATTGTAACATGGTATGAGAGCTACTCAGGGATTCTTCGCATCAGCAATTCCTTGAAATTCGCCGAACCAAGATCTGGCGAGCGGCACACGCTCCAAGACCAAGATGGCCGGAGGATCCGGAGGCCAAACAAATCTGACGGCTGAAGGACAAACCAACCCGGCTGCGACAAATGAGGCGACAACCACGATCGGCACTGCCGCACTCGAGCAGTTATTCGCTCGACTTTCAACTATGGAGAAAGAACTCCAAGATTTGCGCAAAGGCGATGCGGGAACCTCTTCCCATCCAGCTCAACCTGGACAACCGGCAACGAAAAGCCGTGATACCGCCGCGCACACCTTCTCCCTCGACACAGACAAATCAACAACAACTGCCCCCCGTCCAAGTGATGAAGTCATTAACTCTGCGCAAGCACGCTTCCTCAGCGTTTCAAAAATCAAGACTACCGCCGCCTTCGACGGCAAGGATTTCTATACATGGAGTTTTGAGCTTGAGCTCCTCCTACAGACAGCGCAGATCTACCATTACTTCGACGGCTCCTACTCTAAACCGGTGGACGACACCGACGACGCCAGGGCTCAGTACTACAGCGAGTCCCTCATGGCGTATAGCGTGCTGCTACGCAACATGACGCCTGCAGAACAACTAAGCATCCGCTCCTACAAAGAGAGCGCCGCTCCAGCCTTGGAAGCCTGGAAGCACCTCGTTGAGGTTTATCAACCGAAGGACTCGGTTACAGCCAGCAGGCTCCTGCAGCAACTCATGGAGACAAAGATGGGGCACGGGGAGAAAGCGAATTCTTATATTAACCGCTGTCGCAACATCCGTGACCAGATCACGAAGCATGGGAGCGCAATCTCGGAAGAGATCTTCGTCAACATAGTCCTTCAAGGACTCGGGCCAGAGTGGAAGCCCTGTAAAGCGCTACTCCGACAGCGAGGAATCATCTCTGAAGCCGCGCTATGCGCCGCACTCCTGACTAAACAGCAGGACATGGATTCGAGCAGAACAAGCTCAGCGCCGCGCCGCGTCTCGCCTTCTACGCAGACAACCGTGAAGAGCGACGACATCAACATCAGCAAACTCAAGGACCTCAATCAGGAGCTCCTAGAAATATCATCGCAAATATGGCGACGCGCCGACGTCGCACTGCTGAACCTGACGAGGAAAATGAGATTCAAGGGAGACTCCTTGAACCAGAAGGGGGTTGGAATAATCCCCTCACTGAAGACCACTATTACCGGTATGACGAAGATGAGCAGGATTGGAACCAGCCAATCACCTTGCGGGAAAGCCCGCCTCATGACAATCAACATTACGTACCGGTGGGATGGAAAGAGGATGAAGACCCTCTCTTCCATAGTCGCTACAAGGCGACCC